TGCGCGCACGCTTTCCTAATTTATCTTGTCAACCTTTCGTTTCATCCATTACGGATTTCTTTCGCGAATACTTGTTGCGTGATTGATATTATGAATTCCGCGTTATGCTCGGCAATGCACTAAAAGGATTCTCCAAAGGAGTGTACCGCCGGTACAGAGGGATGCTCCAGCGTGAAATAATTTCTGTTGGTGGAGAGCGTCGCCGCGAAGAGATCGCCGCAGGTGCAGGCAGAATAAGAGACAAAAAGGAAAAGGAGAAAAAAGCGAGAGAACAAGCAGAAAACAGGGAGAAGGAAAATAAAATCTCACGGTCTTTTCTCCAGCCACTTAGAGTGCGCAAGCCGATTCTGGCGATACGGCCGATACGGTAGGCGCGTGCGATAACTCTCGGCTTCGCAATATCGAACGGGCTCTACGTGCCACCCAGAGAGAGTAATATTGAAATCACGGAGTTGTGCACGTCGTCGTCATCGCCGTCGGGGTCGACGTGGTCGCCGCCGCCGCCGCCTCCACCGTCGCCACCGCCGCCGCCGCCACAAGTAGGCCAGCTCGAAATAGAAACCGTCAACTGGGGCAGTCAATGCCCAACATGTAAAACACATTCATCGCGACACATTCGCGACTTTTCCGTAACGACGTTTGCATCCACGGCCTCTCCTCGTTCTCCCCCTTTCCTTTCTGCTCTCCTTTTTCACCACTTCGCGAGTTGATACGAAAGAACCGTCGTCGACCTGACAAGCCCCACACGTTGCCTCCACGCGCCAAACACGCCGATCTCCGTTCCTAAAATGATTTTTCGCCGCACCGGGAGAACGTCCCCTCCTCCCCTTGTCGCTCATTGCGGGATTTAAGATAACGGTTCTAATTATGGGTTATTTAAGGTTCGAGTAACTTTCAATCGTTTATGTAAATCCGTCGATCGGACATTCAAACGAACTGACACCAATGTACGCAACTAATATCGTAGTTGTGATATAAAATTATTAGATTTTAAATTTTGTTTATTCTTAATCATAAAGAAATATTTAGAAACATTCCTGCGTAAAAGTCCCATTATCGTCAGCAAATATTACGCGTCCGTGTGTAATGTTATACGGAGGGTTATACGGAGTACCCAATTCTATATTAACAATATCCATATTCATTCATTGTTTTAATCTGTATAGAATAATAACATACGTAGTACAATCTATTAACAATCTATTAACAGTCTCACGAAATCTAATGAGTTGCTAACGCAAATGATATCCTAGATTTTCTTTTTTTCAATATTAAGAATGTTCAAAATCAATTAAGTAGGAATTTCATTCCATCTTTAACATGTTAAAAAATCTTGCTTGCTTCATTTCTTAACTTGTTAGAAAATACTAGAAATAATCGATTTTGCCAACTTATCCCGGTAGCTAGCCCCGATAACTAGAGCCGTTTTTCTCTATTCTTTTAATTAATACAGTAAGTTTGACCCAAAACTGGAACTCGATCCATAATTGGAACTGATACCTTATGCGGTATGGGATAGGACTTTGGGTGCCATTGCCCGGCCTCGCGCTTCCCGTTACTTTTACTATGCAAATCGCTTTACGTTATCGTAGAACTCCTCTCGGATGGGAATATAATATCCGATATGACGACCAGATCGACAATGACCGACGTCTAATCAATTCGCACTGCGTTTTACCGGAAAATTCCGCTTAGAGATCAACATTATCTTATCATTTTCTCTCTCTCTCTTTCTATATATATATATATATATATATATATATATATATATATATATACATATATATATAATTGTCTTTTTTCTCCCTCAGAAATTTGATTTGAAACATTTTTGTCCACTAAGGAAGAGTTTTCGAGTTATTCGACTGGCCTGTTTAAAATAAGGTGCCCCGTATGCCTATCTTTCTCTTGGAAGGGATGGGGATATCGGCTTTGAGCGAGTTTCGCGACGAGCAATGATGTGCAGTTAACGCACCTCGAATCATTCGATAATGAACATCGCTGATGCGCCGCATTCTTGTTGTTAAACAACGCACGGAGAGCGTAATGGAAACGGAATGCGAAATGAAGTTCACGCGGCGCGCCGGCTCGTGCGATTGAAGAACTAATTATATTCGTGCCGCTGCCCTTCCGCGTTTTCATACCGTGGCCGTGTGCGCATATAGACGGCTTTATCGCCCGGATCTTCCGCGCGTCGTTGTAGGGGTTAAATGTCTTGAAGCGAATGCATTAATACGGGCGATAACGCAGCGGATTTTAATGCAGGCGTTTACACGGACCGTTTTAGCTTGGCGGACTCGCTCGCAATATACGTGCTTACCGGCAATTTAGCATCCGGCTTAACAGGACGTAATTTTCCGCAATGGCGGCGTAATGAGGCGTATATAAAACGACACTAGCCTTGTACGCTCGCGTTCTACCGTTCGTATTCTTTCTTTATGACACAGACGGCTAAAAATAAATAATACAACTCTCGCGGTCCCCTCGAAACCTAAATCTTTATATCCGTCGATACGATGCTCCGCGCGAAAATCTCTCTGCACGGAAAAAATAATTGAAAATAGTTAGAAAGCAAAAAAAAGAACAGACAAGTGAGAATCGGCGCTGATGATGGAGTGAGATATTTAACACATACACAAGAACGATTAATTCAATTATTAATTACAATTAATTATGTATTAATGCAATGTGAATTAATATTCATCATTATTATGTATGTATGAAATATTTCACTTTATCAACGACGACGGCTGTATCACTTGCTGTATCTTTGTTCTTCAAGATTTTATATCTTGAGTGCCTAACTATTTTGTATAATGCCATGTCTGTTACAACTACATTCTCTATGATTAGGAAAGAAATGTATGTGAATTCAAAAGTTAAATAGATATTACATTAACAGTTGCTGTTATATGCCCACAGATCTCACGTATCTTATCATACGTAATATTCAATTAATATATCCTCATATTTACTCAATTGAAAGAATATTACGATTTCTCTCTTTTCTATTGCGGCCTGCAAAACGAATGTGTCAATTGTGGTTAACAGATTTTAGTTGCGCCACACACAACACTGAAAGTTTCGCTGAAACACGCGTGGATACTTTTCGAGCATTATGATTTCTACATTCTTTTTATGTGTATGGGCGAAAAAATAAAAATTAATATTTCGTTGCGACGACCATACTTAATCAAACGATGTCTCTAATGTTTTCCCCCGTGCAAGATTGCACTCAACACAGGAGCCATTTGAAATAACTGCGCATTAATAACATTAAACGTGCCATCGTAAAAGAACGATCTCTGATTGTGGAGAATGGTACTTTCGACATTATTAACCGACTTTTCTCTCGGTTTTGCATGCTGGCCTGGCAATTTCTTTGCGAAGCCTTATGCTGGAACAGTTACGCTTTGTATCCGCATGTGTCGATTTCTTAATGCGCTCGTGTAACACATAGAAACGCTTGCACACCCCTCTTCTTTCTATCCTTTCGAAGTGACTGAGATGATCTCAGTTAACGCGCATTTAACTCTCGATGTCCCATGTCCAGTTGATACGACTCGCAGCGCACGTGTAACATGCATACGCGAAACATTAACTTTCAACGAATTTCAGAGGCTAGTATATTCTCCTTCTATCTCTTTCTCTCCCTCTCTTTCTTTCTAAAAGGCGCACAATATATATATATATATATATATATATATATATATATATATATATATATAATCTATCTTAATTAACGTCATTCACGCCTCCTAATCTCTTCTGAAAGTTAGAAGCACAGATTGCACTACCTGCCCTATCTCTCTTATCGCACATCGAGAGTGCGCTTGCTCGCGGAGCAATCTACCGTACAATTGTTCTCGCACACTTCCGCACCTTCTCTTCCTCCGGATACTCGTCGGAAGCACCTGCAGACTCGCGTACCACGTCGCGTCGCGTTAATATACCCTACAAGATCCTCCCGTGCATCTTTCCGAGGTTAAGCTTCGACACTTCGAGCCGTTTTACCGTCATTCTTCCACACCCGTCTCCCGTACCCGCGCTCAGCATACAAACCACCGCCAATCTCCCAATACTCTGTTATTACCCATTGCCGACCGCGCAGTATAATGCATCCGGCATGCATCGAACGTACACGTAGCATCTCCCACCTATACAACGTCGTTCACACGTACGAACACGTTCAGAGATATTTTCTTCCTTCCTTCTTTTCTTTTCTTTCTTTTTAACGCACGAGACAGCGTACTTTTTTTCCTCATAGCGATGTAATGGGCGCGAAAATGCAAGAACGCCCGCGGGGAGCCTCACGGGGAACCGCGGACGTTCTCTCGTGGCCCTAGTGGAGACGTCACGGTCGACTCTTGGTCTCGTCACGCCTTGCCTTCCTCGCGCGAAAACAAACGACCTACGGGCGTGCGCGAGAGGATAACGCCCGTAGGTCGTTCTGTTCCTCCGACACGCTGCATCCCTTGTCTCATCATTTATCATCTCATGATTCACGACCGGTGCGAGTGGATAACGAGATTTGATCGCGCGTACAAGGAGCCCGCTGAATAATGAACTACGTCTCGAGCTCTGGCCCGTTAAGCGGGATTAAAACTTCATTTCGTTCATCTTGCAAAAATAACGAGATCGTCGGGGAGAGCTCTTTTCCAACGCGCGCCACACACACACAGAAGATAAAAGTTTTATATTATTATCTTCTATATAATGTGTATCTCCCCCACGTATTTCTTCACGCGCTCTGACGAATACAGCCGGCCACCTCGAACGTCTTCAAAAATCTAATAAAATGGAAAATCTAACAGAGTTACCGGCTTCTTCCCTTTCCCCTCTCTAACGATGGCAAAATCGCCGTGATAAAATTTCCTCGTATGTCACCGGGAAATTCGCGTGCACGGATAAAATGTGGGGAATGAACGCTCGCACCGGTGCATACGTGTCCATTGCGATCTCTCGTTTATGTTGCGTGTTGGTGTTGGTGCAAGGGGCAGGAGATACCGATATACATATGGTACGAGTCGTATCCGACCCACAGTGGCGAAGGATATGAAGGTCGTGTCTCGAGGGTGAGCCCGAATTCACCGTACGGCGGGGCCAGCCTCAATCTGACCAACATCCGCGAGAGCGATCAAGGATGGTACAACTGCAAGGTCGTCTTCCTCAACAGGTCGCCCAACAATCACAAGAACGGTACCTGGTTTCACCTAGACGTCCACGGTAAGTAGTCTCAGAACTTCACGTATTTTCTGTCGAAGCGCACGCAAATGCGATTTGCGACTTTAAGACGCGACTTGTTTTATTATTAGATGCTACGCGCTCGGGTTTCTAAGTGATAAACACGCCGTGGAATTTTTGTCGCAAAGCAGAATGCTTGATATTTATGTAAAATATCGCCTGTTAGTGATGAAAGTTATGATGTTTTTTTTTATTGCGAGCTTAATCGAAACTCTCGTGCTGTTTGTACGAGGTGAGGCCACGTTATTCTTACTGCGGATAGCCTCATTAATATCACTTGGGACTTAAGGAGATTTTACGACTTCGACTAATGTAGTTTTATGACACTTGCGGGGAAGTTAACCGCGTGAGTTAAGGTCGCACTTGAACAGTCCCATGTAGCTTCGAGAAATTTGCACATTTTCGCAAGTTCATCAAGAAAAGTGTGCGCGCGCGCGGAATCTAATTTCGAAGTAACATATTGCTCGTGTTTCATCGTTTTTGCGGAAATTGATGATGCAAATATACATTTACGTTCGTTATCGCGCGAACTTCGGTTATCTTTTCTCGAGAAAGGTCTGAAATATTTATCAAACTTAACCGTGCTTATCTACACAGAAAAATATCATTCTATTGCTAAGAAAAGCGACTGTTTATCTTCCTCCTTTTAAGTACTACTTATCTTCAATAAGGAACTTATTTCTTTTTAATAAGAATCTTAAAATATATTCATCATCACAAAGTTTAAAAAATGTATTAATCGTGTGTTCAAAAGAAGATTATTCTATTCACAAGGATATTATAAAACCTTATGGACGTAAAATATGGTTCCGGTTCAATTCTATGCAGTAAACAAACGAATTTCTGCTTCGACTTAATATTTTTCATTGAAATACTAAATTTCAATAAAGAATATTAAGTTTAATGCTAGGATTCAGGATGTACTTTAAATAAATTGGATGCTTATGATGAAAACTTGTGATAAATTTTCGAATAAATAAATCTATGTGATATACTAATGTGATAATACTATGTGATAGACAAATACACTGAGAGAAAAATATCAAAGACTACAGAATATTCATTTGACGGATACTAATAACACATTTACTTGTAGTAACATACATATTCTTAAATTAAGAAAAAATTAATAAATATAAAGATAAATATTTTTCTAAAACATCGTCGCTCTTTTTATGGAAGCAACTGTTTATTTTATAAAAACAATAGAATTTAGATTTAAGTATCCACCGAATAAATATTTTTTATTTTTCAGACATTTCTTCTCTCAGTGTAACATTTACTTGAATGCAATATGTATTTTTCTGTATGTATGAACGCGCGCTACATAAAAAACTCCCACCAATAATTGTAAAAATCTACACGCGCCATACATTTAATCTAATCAGAAAGGTGTCCGAGGGGAGGGGTGGGGAGAAGAAGAACATACGTTCGCGTATCTCCATAGACTCATGAAATTCCGGAACGTTCTTCTTTCGCGCTTGGTTAAACATGGTCGAATACAGCACGCGAGAATATTCTCCTTTCTGCCGTCGCGTTCCTTTTCATCCCGGCCACGCTTTTCGTCGACGTGACTTCCTATCAGGAAAAGGAAAGCATGCGAGATCATAAAGGACGCCTCAAAAGAACGTCGCCGATTCTTCGACGCGATTCCACGCGAATTGTACATTCAGCAAACACCGTGCAACCAACCACGCCCCCCTTCCCCTCCTCTCCTCCGCATCCCATTCTTTAGCCCCAAGTTCGCGCGGGAAGAAGTTATGTTTCTCGCTTGCTCAGCGAGCGCGGTCTCGAACGTCTTCTTCGAGAGTTCCCTTCGTCGTCCCGGCGAAATCTCCCGAGAAAATTCGTCCCTGCTTACGGCGAGCAAAATGGAAAGGAGAATCGCAAAAAAGATCGTGTTACCGGACGGGAAATGGGATAGAGCGGCGGAAAAAAGGGCGAAGCAGGCGATAGAAGAAAGAGGGAAACTTATTGCCGCATTTTGCTCGGCTATAAACGACGGCGAAGGGCCGGAGGGAAGAGAAATATTTAGATAGCTCAGGAAGGATGTTCCGTTGTCCCCTTTTTCCCTCGTCACACCTCATCACCCCTTCCTCCTGGCCCTTCACTCTACCAGCCCACTCCGCTCATTCCCAATTTCTCCGTCGTCCTCTAAGCCTCCGGTCACAACAACAACGAGGACAACGATGATGGTGACGACGACGACGACGACGACGACGAAAGACCCGCAAACGACGTGAAAGGGAAAAATACTTGGAGCTTCAGAGAAAGCGTTTAAGGTCCCTTTATACCTCGCAGTCGGTTCCATCCGTCGCTTGCTCGCGTTAAAGACACAAACCGTCGCGTCGCTCTTTTTCGTTGTCAACTTCTTTCTCTTGTACTTGCATTTCCGCTTTTGCTTTTTCCGCGAAGCGTCATTCTCGAAATTAAAATTCCTCACCCTCGAATAGCGGCAATCGCGAGGCAGCGAGACCTCGGCGACGGTGGAGCAAGGACGACCTCCCGAATACACTGAGAATTCGTGCCGAAAGAGAAAACTCTCGCGGGCGAAGCTGCCGCGGAAGTACTTAATTGAGCTCTTTCCGCGCGATACCCGGACTTCTGCCGGGCGTTCTCGCGCGCGTACACGTCGATTACAATTTCTCCAACGGAATAATTCCGTCCTCTCGCGACAGGAACGCACGGTCCGGAGGGGAAATCCGTCGCGGGACCGTTTTCTTAACTACCACGACGTAGAATTTGCATTATTTCATTTGCTCGCTTCTCCGTACCTTCTCCTCGATCTTTTACTCTCCCCCTCGCTCGCGCGGAATCGTCGACCCCCTTCCGATACGGCCACTATGTGCCGCGTCCTAATACGAGAAAATGAACAACTATTTACGTTACCCGTGCGGTCAGGGTGGGCGGCGAAGAACCATTGTGATTTCTCCGGGATGGAAAGAGGATGAGCGGTCGCCCGGGGCGAGGGGTGATAAAAACCGCGGCGGAACTTCTCGGGTTTTCTAAACGTCCACGCTCGCTTCACGGGCTTGATTGTTCCCTCTGTAACGTCGTTTTCTCGCGACCATTTTCCGTCGTCGATGTGTCAGACGCATCTCCATCTTCACCTTCGATCGCGGCGAGAGAAATTTCAGCCCGGCCTGCGCGCTTTTCACCCCCTCGTCGGGAGAAACCGACGTCACCGGCTTGGAAAAATAACCCGGGACGAAGGTCGCGAAAGGGATAATCCCGTTCGCAAATACGAGTGGCGTACGCTCGATTAAGTCGGACGTGGAGATGCGGATGGCCGCCTCTCAGGGAGCTCTCCGTAGAGTTAAGATTGCGAGTATAACGCAACGCGATACAGTCGCGCCGGGTCGTATCTAATCGCCAACCGCATCCATTGTTCGCAGCGCCACCCAAATTCAGCATAACGCCGGATGATATGATATACGTGAATCTGGGCGATGCGATAATACTGAACTGCCAGGCTGAGGGCACTCCGTCGCCCGAGATCCTTTGGTATAAGGATGCGAATCCCGTTGAACCATCGTCGACCATCGGTATATTCAACGACGGCACCGAGCTGAGGATCTCGATGATTAAGAACGAGGACATTGGCGATTACACCTGCATCGCCAGGAACGGAGAGGGCCAGATCAGTCACACCGCGCGCGTCATCATCGCAGGTGAGTGCAGCGCGGCTTTCATTAGAATGTCAAGGGAATCCTGAAGCGCCGAAGCCGTAATTTCATCGGAAGTTGAGCAATAAATTATCCGTTCGGTCGGTCACCTCTTCTCTCCTTCTCTCTCTCTCTCTCTCTCTCTCTCTCTCTCTCTCTCTCTCTCTCTCTCTCTCGCCCGATGGAAAGGACGACCATGTTCGATAGCGGGTGGTCACGCGCGATCGCTGAACGTGAGATATGAAACTTTTTTAATATAAATTTCAGCGTCATTCAGAAACATTCACACGAGCACCGGCGAAGAGGTAGTCGATACGTAGAGAGAGAGAGAGAGAGGGTAGATTTTACAAGAGGATGCATATCCGAGGTTATAAGAGTCGTGCAAAGTTTTTGAATCGCTCGCGGTGTAAGAAATGAGTTTACGTGACATTGACGTGCATATATTTTCATAATTCTCCGCAATGTTCATTATTCTCAAATTGGTAATTTCGGCAGAATTCTTATACAAGTGTATATATCGCGTCATGTATGCCTTATCAAGAAGAAAAAGGATTGGTCGAATTATCATGACAATGACACAACTAAACACGGTTTGTTTGAAAGAAACGGAATTTCTAGTTTTTCAGAATTAAATTTGACTGACGTGAGAACCAAGAATTATGTTTTATCCAAACAAAACATTTATTTGTACTATTTTTAAGAACTGAATTCTGCCCTTAACTAAAGATTTTCTTTTCTTCAACTAAAATGCATTTAGTTGTATCACTGTCATATCATTCTCAAATTTTGTCACGCCATTTTTAATAACTAAATTCCGCCTTTAATCAGAAATTCTATTTCCTTCAGTCAAAACGCATCTGATTGTGTAATTCATACATTAATTCTACTAATCTTTTCTCTGTGCATTTAGGGTTACTTATATGATTTTTTACTTCATTCATATATATATATATATATATATGTGTGTGTGTGTGTGTGTGTGTGTGTGTAATTAAAAATCGCAGAAGTAACCTTAATTATAATAGTGAGCCATATATTAGGTAATGTATACTCTATCCACGATGTGTCTGTACTTCACACACATTTGCCCCCCTCACACTTTCCCCAGCTAAAAAATCTCAAAATTTCCTGTGTGATTTTGCTAATGTGAGCCACGAGTGGCGTACATTCCGCGGCCTCTCTCGCCGCAGCAAATAATATAACTCCCTTTTCCGTCGACCTCGGTTAATATCTCGCCAGGGGGCACGTTAGCGTGCGCTGTTAAGTATTACTGTCTGACAGGAACGCATTACCGACACTGCAGTGCGGCCGCCTAATCCACTTCGTCCGCGGCGTGACACGCGGCTGCGACAAAAACCGTCGTAACACAGCTTTCGTTTTAGAGCGCGTTAAACGAACGGATGATGTCACGTAGGGAGCGCCGCCGACGATTGGGATAATTAAGGCATTGTCCGTTCAACGGCGTTTACCCCAAGCACTCCCGAGACTGCCGGTTAACACGAAATGCCTGTCCCGTTTGATCCCGACAAGTGTCTCGATCGATCACAGCTATCTCTTTTATCTCGATTATCGTTTCATCGTTTGAGCGCGAGAGTATCGACTTAGAAAATGAAAAAAGGAGGGAAGAGGAATAGAGATATATCCACAGATATACGTCTGCAGACACTCATCTTGTCCTTGCAATTAAATGGCTGTTTCACATAATTGAGTTGGATACATAATTAAAATATAATTAAAGAATATTTCATAAAAGTTCCACCTTTAGCCAGCGAACGGGAAAAAAGTAAAAGTCGAGAGAGAGAGAGAGAGAGAGAGAGAAAGAGAGAGAGAGAGAGAGAGAGAGAGAGAGTGTGCCCCGTATAACGCAAGTAAACTAATTAAAGAAGAAAATACTTTGTACCAGCCATCCTTCTGCAGACCTACCCCCCGCGAAGCTAATAAGAAGACGCGTCTTTGTAGTCCCCCTTTCGCCGAACATAAACGTAAAGTCGGCTGATTAGTTTCTCGACAACGAGAAGGAAAGAAAGAGAGAGAGAGAGAGAGAGGAAGAAAGAGAAAGAGAGGAAGGAAGGAAGGAGATTCCGCGCGCACCTTTTTTCGAAACTAATTTAATATGAAAGTCGCGCGCGATAGCGAGCACGCTTTAATACACTTCCGAAAATTGCCTCGGCATGCTCGCGCGATTAATTATCCGCGATCAGTACCCAGAAGAGAATAACGCAAAATACGGCTGCCTGCCAGCCCGATAATTAATAAACAGCAAACTGCCGTGGTAATTATCGAACGCGTCGTTATCAGAAACAGATATCCCTTGGTAATCAGCGATCGGCCGCGAACACCGGTAATGCAATTCCAATAACCTGGACGCCAGAAAATATCTTAAAGCGGGCGCGGTTAACTCGGCCGGTTTTGTTGTTTATCGATCCGCGAGTATAAGCCGTCCCCTCCTGTCTCTCCTCCGCCCCCATACTCATTCTCTCTCTTCTCGTTCTCTCTACTCTTTACTCCCCTTTTCTGATTTCGCTCGCCGGGCAATCGGAAGCAAATTTTCACGAGCAGAGGTAAGCCCGTCGTCCATCACGACTATGCGATACGTTCGATAAATTCAGTACACTCCGACTGGAAGAGGAATAACAAACGGTCCGTTTACGAGCGATTTCGCAAAAGTTGCCGGACCCGCGAGTCCGCGTCCGACCCCGAAAGTGCGAGATCTGAGAAAGATCGTCGCGCGCTGCGAGAGTTTAATGTCGCTCTTAATTCCGCGGAATCGTCGAAGCGATCGTAAAGCTGACCGATACAGCGCGCGTTCGTGACTCGCCCGACCGTTTCAACGAACGTGGAGCCGAGGTCTTCGCTTTTAATAAGCTAATGCGCGCGAGCATGATGGAGTAATTAAAGGTTTACGCGTGCGTCTTATTATCTCTAGTTTAATTAACTCGGGGCCCTGTTTGCCGCGCCATTCTTGGCGGGCGCGCGCACGTCGTGTTCTTAATATCCGTTACGAAGGGAGCGTTCTCTCTACGCGCGCGGTATGATTTATAATTCAGCCGAAAAGAGTTCGCACGGTAATCTTGACACGGAACTATTAAGTCGTTATCTGTAACTGTTTGGATGACATTCTTGCGAAAAAACAGCTCGTGTGCTTTGCGTCGTGTAACAAAGCGTGTCATCGTGATAAACTTGTTTTCAAAGTTCCGCCTTATACATGCGATGGGAAATATAAATATGAATATGATTCCACCTCGCTATCTCTTTCTGCGATTTCATCGGTAATTACTGCTTTTCCAATAATAGATATCAAAACAAGAGATAGATAGATAGATAGATAGAGAGAGAGAGAGAGAGAGAGAGAGAGAGAGAGAGAGAGAGAAAGAAAGAAAAAGATTGTACGCGATATCGCGCACGAACAGGTGTGTACCATTCTAAGCCATCGTCCCGCGAGCGCAGCTCGCAAAAAGATAAGGGAACTCCCAATCTCGCCCACGTCATATAACCGTTTTAGCGTCCATTTCCGTCGAACGGAAACGTTTTCTCGTGATCGAGGACGCAGTATGCCGATGCATCCATAAAGCGCAGGGACGGCGCTCCGTGTAGGACGCGCGCGGCGCGTAGCATCTCTCCCCGGTTAGTCCCGTAAATTTTTTACGAGCCGATACATTTACTCATATCGATACCCTCGGCGCGATAAAACTCGCGTTAGGCAAAGTGGTTACAGCGGGGTTCCGGCAGCCTCGCTCGTTCCGCCGACCAATTAAGGCTATTCTCGTGGAGGGTTCCGGCGGGGGAAAGAAGGGGGTTAAAAGGCGATTTGTCTTGTTTTTCCGGAGCCAACAGCCACTTTCCGCCCCCGGACCGCCTTCTTGTTCCATTTCGCTTTCACGTTCCCCCTTACCTTCTCTCCCCCCTCTGCCACCATCTCGTCGCCTCGCTTCTGCCCCCACAACCACTGCAAATTTGTAAGCCGCGGCGGCGGCAAGCCACGACCGGGACATCCGTCTTCATCATCGTATTGTCTTACCGTCTCTCTCCCCTCTTGTTTTCACGCCTGCTTATACGAGACCCGGCCGCGAGATGGTTATTTAATGGATTGAGAAATAGCGGAGGGGGACGTCGCCCGGCCGAGACAACGGCGGGATCGTGAAATTCGCGAGTACTCGACGAATAAAATTGGGTGAACGCCGCTAATGATGACCATTATCGCCGTTATTACGAGAAGCGCCGGATTTAGAAGACTAGCGGATTAGCGCGGACACCTTGTACAGCGAAATTCTATTTTTCATACACGCCATTTCTTACAACGAGCGTACTTCACTACCAACCTGGGTGCCAACGGCGAAATATGTAAAACTATTGTTGTACAAAATACTGAGATTTCTATGACAAGACACTGCACGGCTATTTCTACCTTCCGTGTCGTAAATAAGAAATAACAAAACGTGCGTATTTTGCACGGTGCACACACATACATGCGCGCGCGTAACGGTTTATTCTGACGCGCAAAAACGCGGGAGGCAAAGCGTTTAAAGAACGGTAGGAAATGCTGAAAAGTAAACACACCGGCGAGGATAATTCCATTTCCAGAATTTAGCCGCGTCTCGGGTTGCCCCATTTGCTGAACTACAGTCCTTCGCGCTGCTCATGGTACCGCGCGTATTTACAATGTGGAACGTGATGCAGCGCGACGCGCTGCGCTGTCATGGGTGTGCACTTGGCATAAGAGCCCACGCGCCGTTCTGAATTTCATTGCCCCGGTTTGTCAAGATTTTCGTCCGGTTGGCAAACGCCAGAATTTGTCACCGTGACACTTTTCGCATCGAGAATGCGGCGGGTATAAATGTGACAGCGCGGTCGGCGGTGTAGCTCTTCGCGGCTTGATAATCACTTTATAAAAGCGTTTCTCGGGCTCCTCTCTTTCCCTCCCTCCCTCGGTCGCTTCAAAGCTCTTGAATATTTCCGTGAGTGAAAGCACAACGATAAAACACAAGGGAGCAACATCGAGCGCCGCT